GGAGTAAAGCTGCCCGAGCCTGCTGGCGGGGAGATGAAGGTATTTGGTCGGATTAGAGATTCTGAGAAGTCAGATGAGCTGAAAGGGGCAGGCAGCTGTGGGAGGCAGTAACGGCATCCCGACACGAAAACTCCTTTCTCAGTGTCGTCTGTGCCTCTTTGACAGCTTGCTCTGCTGTAGCTGAAACTAATGGGCAGCACTAGCACAGTAACTGCTTTGTACGGGGCCAAGCAGAGGACATCTGCTCTCCCCTCCCTTCTTGCCTAGTCATTCTTTCTTGGTTGGAGATGCCCTGGGGCTTTCCAAGTTGTTTTTTTAGCAGCGTGCTTCTGTTGCATGGGTTACGGTTTGCTAGATGTATATATAGCAAATACATCTCGCCTGTGTCTACAGTTCATGTTTTTTTATGTGGTTTCTTGTTGCCTGACGGTGGGGAAAGTGGGATCCAGGGATTCTCCCAGGACAGGGCTGGCAACGAGCTCCACATCTCTGAAATGAGAGACCTTTCTGTCCCTCCGACAGGGAGACAACCGAGTGGCTCGGCGGCAGCGTTGGTCTCGGCCGAAGGGCTTTTGTTGCTTGGTGGCTGCTTTGTTCTGGACAGCTGAGCTTGGGAGTTGAAACAAAAGTTGCTTAATCCTCTCAAACTGCCTGGCAGCATTACTGAGGCTTGGCACTGCCCGCAGACATCGGGGCTCAAGCAGCTTGCCGGTCTGCGCTCGACTCTGGGTACTTAGCAGTGCTTATAATAGCAAATCCCTCTGCAGAGCGAGGGACAGGAGGGGTCTCCGGCACTGTGCCGTGCAAAGAGTTACGTCCCCCTGCCGTCTTCACCTGTCGTGCTGCGAGTAACGGGCCTGCCGTGACGTACGGTGTGATCGTGCCAGTCCCAGTCCGTGGAAAAACAGCCCCAGGTCGTAGTACAGCAAGCCCAGGAGCGGGCATCGTCTGCTTAGATGCCTGGTAGCTTGTCACAGCAGTGTCAGTGCTGGAGGGTGTCCTCATCCAAACATCTGGCACGCCACGAAGGGCACACGAGTCACCCAGAGGCAGCAAAGCTGTGCTGAATCGAAGCCAAGCTCCCTCTCAGCTGCACATGTTGGACCGAGTGGGATCGCATTCATGCTGATTTTGATCCCTGCCTAGCTTGGGGTGTTTCTCTGTGTTCTTGATGCTGCTGTTGTAGAAGGTGACCGGGCTTTGGAGCAGCTGACAGGCTTTTGAAACGCGATTCTGGGACTTCAGAAGGGCAAAGAGGTGATGTACAGGGGTTCGTCCGGCCGTCTTTCTGCCAAAGCCCCCGTCTTCCCAGTGCCACTCCAGTGTTTGCTGGGCTGGCTTCTTGCTCTTCTGGAGGTCTCTGCAAAGCAGCAGTGCTTCAGCCCACCACTCTGTGATAATTCATGGTGTTCTGTTGCCATGGTTGATAACGATGCAATTTTATTTGTTTTTTTTTTAAACAGCTGCCCCTTCCTTGCCCGTCACCTGACCCTGGCCATCCCCATCATTGCAGCCGTCCTCTTCTTCTTTGTCATCAGCTGCCTGCTCCAGACAAGCTTCAGAGACCCAGGTATCCTGCCCAGAGCCACCCCAAGTGAGGCTGCAGACCTGGAAAAGCGAATCGGTGAGACTTCTACTCCTTCTCCTATATTCGATCCAGTGCATGCCTCTGTGTGTGTGTGTGTGTGCACGTATGTGCGTGTTTCGGGCTCAGCAAGTCTCCTTTCTTGGCTCTTGGCTCCTTACCGTTGTCCGGGGGGAGAAGAGGCCACGGTATCAGATTGTCAGGCTTGTCAGTGTCTTACGAGTCCGGCGACAAGCTCCTCTAGCAGAGCAGGCAGTGCTTCAGAGAGCGGATCCACAGAGAGGCAGAGGTGGTTTTCGTTTCTGTTCAGTCCCATCGCTTTCCCAGGCAAAGCCGTGTACGGTGGGTCGTGGCCGTACCCGTTCCTGCCCTCAGGACGACACCTGAGTGGGCAGCGGCCCTGTGCAGAGCTCAGGGGAGGGAGAGTTTGCGGCATCGGTGTCCTAAACGTGAATACCGTTAGGGACGGTGTCCCAGTGGCTGGGGGAGCACAAAGTTCCCCTTCAGAGTCACGCTGCCAGGCTCTTGAAGACGGAGTAAGAGTGCCCGTGCGGCTCTGTAACGATGCGTTAGTTACTTTGAATATTGTCCAAACTCGAAGGCATCTGACCCTGTACCACCTTCTGCAAAATACGGGTGGTGAGGATGTAGGATAATTAATTTAGGTGTAAATGCTTTTTAAAATGATTTGCCATTGACCCTGCTGTGCCACGAGGTTTTCTTTATTCTAATGGTTTCTAACAGTATGCTGATATTTGTCCCCATCTAAAAACGGCTATGTCGCACTGTTTTGGTGGTGACCAAGAAGGTATACGCATCCAGGATCTGTGGGCCTTGCTGATGTGACCCGTAGTAATGAATGCTTTAGCAAAGCTAATGTGAGACAGCTTGAATGTGCCCCACTGAAGACAGTTGCAAGGCAGTAATTCTACGTCTGACTAATAAAATGGTTTTAAAATATGCTCAGAGTGGTTATCCATGTTTCTATTTATAAGTGTCTAAAGCAGTAATCTGGCTGCAGATGCTGCCTGATGTGCCAGCTGTTAGTTAATATAATCCACTTATTATCCTCTTAACATGCTCACTGTTACATCTCTATTTTCAAAGACTTCCTCAGAGTTGGAAAGGTGCTCTTTTAAGAGTGACTAAAATAAAGGAATGACCCCCAAAACTGCAAACATGATACAGAAGTTTTCCAGCTCATGCTTTTGCTGAGCCGAGGAACAGTCTCCAGCTGCCAGTCCGCAATGAATAATGAGGTGCCAGTGCCCACAGATGTAACTTGCAGCGTCCCTAAAAATCCTCAATTTCGACCTTGAGGAGGAGGAATCCTCTTGCGCTACTAACATAAACCTGTCAAATTTCAATGAAATCTGCCTGGAGCACTTGAGACCTGCTCGCCCTGATGGAAACGAGTCTCTTGAGCCCAGCGGCGCCGCTGGCCCCAGCTGCGGGTTGGCAAGTTGGGCGCTAGCGGTGGCAGGGGATGCTTCTGCTGAGGTGACCCTGATTTCTGTAACTTGGATGCTTGCAGCAGAAGAGGAACCGCATGTGCGTTAACAGATTATGTTGCCTCCTTGTGCTGTGATCCGTTAGGCAGAGATGAGTTGGTGATACCGGGCACGTTAACACGACTGCTTTTATGCTCACTATTTATAAATCGCTGGATGTTCTCAAAGCATTGGGCAGATATTACTTCCTCTTGGCATCCCAGCAGCTTTGCCATTGAACAGACAATAAATAATGCGGCGAGGAGCTGACTGGAGTTCCTGGCTGCCCACCTTGCAACAAATCCTGTAGGCTGAGCTGCCTCGTAGCTTTTGCTTAAAATCAGGAGAGCACGTGCCGATCCCGTACCCTGCCAGGAAGGAGCTGGGGGTGATGCGGGGCTTGGGTTTCGCCGGCACCGGTCTGACTGTCGGTCCTTGCCCTTGCAGACAGCATGGGTACCTCTACCTATCGCCCACCGGCCCGCACGATGGAAGTGGTCATAAACAAGTACGTGGTGAAACTCAAGTACTGCTACACCTGCAAAATGTTCCGCCCTCCCCGCACCTCTCACTGCAGTGTCTGCGACAACTGTGTCGGTAAGCCCAGAAAGTGGACAGGTGCTGATCTCTCTTTGTGTGTGTGACAGGGGATGTGTTTTGTGTTCCTGGACAGGTTACTTTTGCTTCTTGTAAGGGATTATAAAGCAAGATACTGAGTGGTCTTTCTTCTTCCCATTTATAATGAAAGCAACACCAGTGCAGTGGCTCAGGACAAGCGGGCAGCACGTCCAAGACCCCGTGTCTCTGCTCTCCCTGGTTCTGGGAGGACGGTACTGTGAAATGCAGTAAGGCCCCCACCAAACATGAGGTTTGCTGCAGGTTCCTTCTTGTCTGTGCCCTCGCTGTCACCAGGCTCGTGGAGACACCACCACAGGTGCTGGTTGAGCTCTTGTATGTCCTCTCCCCGTGCCCTCAGAGTGTGGTGGGGCAGGAGGGAATGAACAAAGACCTGAAGAAAAGCCTCTGATGGCTCCACGCAGGCGTGGGGCAGCTGCAGGGGGGACGGGCAGGGAGGTTCCCAGTGTGTCCTGGCTGCACTGGAGCAACTTGAACTGGCAGGAGAGTGGTACGGGATTTAGGGACATGACCAGAGAGTTTACTCCTTATGCAGCTGCTCCTGGTCGTGCATCGCGCGGATGCAGAGGTTGTGCTTTATGCTGTCTTCCAGGGCAGCCTGAGGAACGACCGAGCCGCGAGCGGTGGCAGGACCCCAAGGCTCTGGTTAAGAAAAGAAGTTTGGGAGTTGCCAAGCGGGATGGGTTCGGGGATAGCCGTGGGCGGCTGTGAGCCCTCCTCCGTACGCTGGGATGGCTCCATGGAAAGCAGCCGTGGCTGGGGCCGTGTTTGAGGAGGAGCTGTCTGGGGGAGCGGGCAGCCCCCGCTTTGTGTGCGGTGGGGTTTGTTTGCCCTGGTGTCCCCTGCGGAACGGTTACCGCGGTCCTGTGGGTCTGAAACGCAGGCCTTTCATTAGAAGGCTGTCGGGAGTATTTCCAGATATATTACACCTGCCCTGGCTTCCCAGGCAGTTTCTGTGGTTTGAGAGGCGTATCTTTAGAACTTTGAAAATTATTTTCTGCCCCGGAGAAGGCGGGGGAAGCTGACACGCAGAAAGGGAGCAGCTATGCTGCGTTTACACAGCCAGTGCTGCTAGGTACTGGAAAAACTGCCGCACTTTCCCTGTTCTCTTTCAGTTTTAGTAATGGTAGATGTTACCAGTCACAAGGCTTGTATTGATGGAGGGTTTGGTGAGAGGAAAGGTTTGGCCTTTGGTGATGATAAAGGGCGTGTGAGCAGGCAGCAGTGCTCCGTTGAAGCTTCTGGCTAACGTAGTGCCGCAGAGAGGTTCTGCTCTCAGGGTGGTGGGTGGAAGCTCGGCTTGTAGCCCCCGGTTTTCGGAGGCTCAGCAGAATTCGCTCTGTTACGGGGTGCGAGGTGGCAGGAGTCCTCACCGTGTCCCTTTGTTTCAGAGAGGTTTGATCACCACTGCCCCTGGGTGGGCAACTGCGTGGGGAAGCGCAACTATCGCTACTTCTACGCCTTCATCCTCTCCCTCTCCTTCCTGACAGCCTTCATCTTCGCTTGCGTCGTCACCCACCTCACTCTGCGTAAGTACCGTGGGTCCTAGCAGCGATGGGTGCCGTGCTCCTGTTCATGAACGACTCGAGGCAGCGCTGGGTCACTGTTCCTGTCGGACGGAGCGTGGGAAGGGACTGGTTGGTTTACACCAGGCTTTTCAGTGCAGGTGGCCTGAATAAATGGGGTCTCAGGCTGCAGGGAACCGCAGATCCACCCTGCACTTTGCTGCAGAGAGACCTTGAGAGCTGGTGACTGGGTCGTCCCCTCCAGAGCGAATGAGCTGGTGGGTGCGTCCGCTCTTAACCTGGTGGGGAAGGCGACTTGCCCGTCAGCCCCAAATCTGGAGCTGTGTCTGCGCGCTGACATTTCTGCAAAGTTACAGACTGCAGATGTTTCTCGGGCAGCCAGGCAGATCCATACGGCTCGCAGGGGGGTGGCTGTGTACTTGGGAATGAAGTGTTGGCTGCGGATGCAAGGCTGCCTGATGGGATGTCGCTCCTTGTCCCGTTTTGCTTTGCAGGCTCTCAGAGAGATGGATTCCTCGCCACTCTGAAGACGACACCTGCAAGATATCCTTCTGATGCCATCAGCTGCTCAGACCGTCGAGCACTGGTGCAGCAACGCTAATCGTGTAACAGAGAGGTGCAGTGAGCTCTTCGTAGGGTTGCCCTGGTGTGCTTCCCACAACTTAATTTAGTCCCCTAGCTACCTGGTTGGGGCAGGCAGGCATCTTTCCGTCTGTAGACTGATAACATCACCAAATTGGGAAGACCTTTAGTTCACCATCAGGGACTAAGGGTAGGTGACAAACTTGTTTCCCAGTTTGCAAGTTTGCATGGAAAGGGAAGCGGCTGGAGCAGGCTGTGCCTTGGTGGATACCTGCAGAATGGCGTGGGGAATGGGAAGCTTGCTGGGATGTTTTCGTGGCCTGGTGTTTGTGTGGTTGCGGCACACACCTCCCGAAACAGTCCTCTGCCTCTCCTTGCAGGATGATTTTTACCCCTGAGACTTCCTTGACTTTTGTTTCACTGTGCTGGAGCTGGTGATTTGTTTTTTCTCAGTCTGGTCTATTTTGGGCCTCTCAGGTTTTCACACGTACTTAGTCGCCTCCAACCTGACGACAAACGAAGATGTAAGTACTTGGATGCTTGTTCTTCTGCGGGGCCGGCCCTGGTCCTTCCTAAGCAGAGGTGAGGTTTTCAGGGGATCCTTGCCTGCCTGCCTGCCTCAGTGCAGTATCTCGGTAAGGCGTGCTGCCTGCATTGCCTGTGATAATCCACTGCAAAGCGAATGGCCTGTGCCCAAGGCATTTAGGCTGTAGTTTCAGGTCGCTGGGTGGGAGGAAAGCAGTCCGCAGCAGCAGGGGACTGTGCAACACGTGTTGCTTGGCGGTGTCAGGCTATGGGAGTCACAGGCTGAAATGTTAGAAAGGTCACGTGTGTGTTTTTTCCAGTCTGTGTGTGGCTTTGCTTAAAATTAGGAGTTCTGAGATCAAAAAAGGAAGGCTGGCCCCAGAGATTTATTTGGGTGTTAGCCTGGGGCATGGGTGATCTTAATTCAGCATCCCGCATAACCACAGGTTTCCTCTGAGACCCTGGGCAAGTCCCTTTGTCTCTATCAGTTCCTCATGTCTAATAGGCAAATAACATACAGACATCTCCTGATGAGATTTACCTTAAAGTCTGGGGTGCGTGCAGACTCCAGGGGCCAAATGAGTACCCTGAGCGGGGCAGATTGTACGGAAAAGCAGGATCTGTCTGATCCTCGGAATGAAAATGCAGCCTTCTGGCCAGAAGTACCTGTAATCCTTGCTGGAAGCTTCCAGCACTGCAGAAAGTGTGTTTGCATCCCTTTTTGTTTTACTTTTCCCCGTGTCCTCTCCCACCTTTCTGTTACGTTCAGAGGTGTTGGCAGAACTGCGCACGGCCGTGTAACGGAGGTCGCACCCCAGTACTGAGAGCGCCAGGTCCGAAGCACGTGGCCCGTTGCCTCGCTGGCTCCGTTGCCCACGTTGCCAGCCTTATGCTGCAACTGGGGAGAGGAAGTAAAAACAAAAGGAGGAAATGTAATGGTAAATGGTTCGCTGCAGCCAGGGGCCTGAGGCCAGGTATAGCATCTGCCCAGGCGTGTGTGCCTACGCTTGACGTGACCGGGGTTTCGAGATCAGAGGCCCAGTGACAGCTGCTCAGGGTGGGGACAGATGAGATTGTTTCCTCCCGTTGCAGCATGGCCTGGGAATCCCCTTGCTGTTTGTTCAGCCTGAGGAGCCCAGGAGGGATCATGAGCTAGAGCCCTGCTCTGATGAGCTTTCAGCCTAGGAGAGAACAAGGGGAGGAGGAAGAGGAGGAGGAGGCTGCCGTTGAAGACTGACAAGTTGCCATGCAGCATGGGGAGGGCACAGCTTCGGAGCTTTCTAGCTGCAAGGCTGAACCTTGGCAGAGGCAGGGGCCGCATATTGCTGTCTCCTCTGGCAGCCTTTCCGCAGCTGTCCTGCTTGTTAAAGCAAAGAGAGGGGGGACGTTTGCCGTAAGAGGACTGAGGATTTGAATCAAGTCCATTGTCGTGTAATTATTTGCCATCACATCGTTCCTATCTTAATCTGCATGTATCCTTTCCCTTTCAGATCAAAGGGTCTTGGTCAAATAAGAGGGGCTCAGAGTTTGCCAATCCCTACAGCCATAAAAGTATCCTCACAAACTGCTGTGCGGTGCTGTGTGGACCATTCCATCCCAGGTAAGAGCCTTTGACCTCCACGGCATTGGGAATTGCATCCTGCCCTGTGAGGGGGGCCTTGGAAAGGACAGGTTTATCACGATTGAGGGGAGACTCTCTCAGCACAAATACATCTACTTCGACGATGATGAGGAAGCCGTTTCCCTGTCTCTGCAGAGAAAGGCTGGAGACGTGTATGAGTAAGTAGGAGGCTCCTGTGTTTGAGCTTGACAAGTTCAGGTCACTTGTAATTGTTTCGTGGCGCTTGCAAATAAGACACATCCTGCAATTCAATAAGGGGAGAGTAACGGCACCAAAGGGCTCGGCAGCAGATGGTAAACACCAGTAGTGGCCATTCTTCTGAGGATGTGTTTTTCCTCCCGTACTCGGAGGATCAAGCATCGTGGCAAGCAGCCAGCGGAGATCCGCACCGGCCAGCGCGGAGACCCTGGGTTTTACCAACACTTAAATTACCTGAAATGCTTAGTAGCGTCCTACCAAATGCTCTTACCTGTGAGTTAACCAGAACCGGTGGTAAAACAAGGGCAAAAGGTGGGCAGTTCTCTGCAGAGGTGAGGAAGCTTTGAGCCTGAAGCTCGGGTACGTGCAGCGCAGGATGATCGCCCCATTGTCACAAGAGGGTGCAGTTGGCCAGAGTCAGGCCAGCATCCCCTTGCGCTGTGCCACTGCAGCTGAGGACCTGCACGCTGGCCTGGAGCTCTCAGCCTCTCCTAGGGCATGTGGGGATCCCCGAGACAAGTTTATTCAGTGGATCCAAGCTGGATTGATGTGGAACGGCTCAGAGGTGCTAGCTTAGTGCGACATGGCGGCAGGGGAGGGTGTCTGAGGCTGGGCAGCTAGAGTCCAAGTGTGTTTACACTTAGATCTGGCCCTGCTCTCTGAAGTGCCCCCAGGCTTTTGGTTGGATTCAGAGGTGCTGAAGTGCCCGTGCTGCCATTCAGAGATGGTAAATCTGCGGATTCAGGGAGCCAAGCTGCTTACCGGGAGCTTGCGGGGAGAATAGCATTTTACTCCACTTCTTTCCTCATTCATGTGATTTTCCTCTTGTGAAGACCTTTTGCCAGTTCCCGTTTGGGTTTGTGGTGACCCAAAGCTTTAACTGCCTAAAGACCGTCTGGTGGCTTGTGTGATAAGTTTGTGGTTTCTCTAATGGGCAGGAAGCTGTGTTATCCAACCCGCTCCTGCCGATGCTTCGGTTTGCAGCTCCCATGAGGAGAGCCCTCGCTGTGGCTTGTGAGCTCCCGTCTTTACGGGAGTCTTCATTTCATTAACTCCTCTCCCCTTGCGCCCTTCCCTTTCTGTTTTCCAGTTTGATAGACAGAAGAGGATTTATCCAGCCAGATGTCGGGACCCCGTCCAGTCCTAAGAGCGAAATCCCTTCCTTTGGAGCCAAAACTGACACCAGCATGGTAGGAGGCGTTCCCTAGCAGTGCTGGGATGTAGGCCAGTGCCTGCTGTGCCTGCACCTCGCTC